TTTGCTTATTTTTAGTTCTGGAATTGCGTTTTTAAGATTCTCTAGAAATGTGCTCAAGTTGTTCATTGTAACAGCTTAAACTTCATCCCGCTCGAATCAGTTTCCTCTTTTGATTTCCTCTTTTTTAGATTCATTGACCTATACGGAACATTAGGGCTATTTCATCATTCTATGTCGCTGTTGTTGAGGAACGCTAACTCAAGCGCATAAGGCCAAGTTGATTTCGAGTTGCCTTTTAGCAACAGAAGATGACAAATAGGTTTTCAAAAAAAAAAAAAAAAAAGAAAGTGGCAGAGTATATGATGAAGTCAAAACAATACAGAGCGCCAATTCAGTAGCTACTGGAAGATATTGGATCGGTTAGATCTTAGCACTTCGGGGTAGAAAGTAAAAGTTGGCTACTAGTAAAGATATGCCAAAAATTGTGCTTTTTAAATTAATTTTTAAAAATTTATCTGCATTTTTGTGATTGGGGAGTATTAAAAAGTCTGGTGTGCTTGTTGATGGTGTTGTGAACAAAGTTTGTACTTTTTTGACTTTGAAGGCAAGTTCTATTAGCAGTTTTTTGAGAGGGGTGAAGGAAGTGTTTATGTAGCACGTAAATGGCTATTTTATTTGAAGCATTGGACTTCATGAGATGTCCTTTGAAGTGGATTATGTTTATTTAGGGTACTTACTTATAGTTCTTGCTCAGTAAATCACTGGTGCGAAGTGACAAAAGAAGAAACTTGACTGCTTGCGATTTTGTTTTGATTGTAGTTAAAAGAGGAAACAAGTATCTCTTATTTTGGTTTTTCTGCATGAAAGGCTTTTTAAAAAAATAGGTTCTGTTCTGTACCGGTAAAAAAAAAATTGTTAATTTGAGAAATTTTTGCTCAGAAAAATTTTATTGCCATTCAGAATAAGGAGAAACAGGTATTCGTTGGAAATCATATAATTTTTTGTCTTTTGCAAGTGTTGAAGCTAGTTGTTTATGGCCTCATTTCTATTGAATTCTTCATTTAGGCAAAGGTAGACAATCGCTTCTGAGATTCTGAATTCGTATGATTTGCTGTAGCAGTAGAAGATTTCAAAAGAATTGGAGACGAAGAACGACCTTGTTATTATTTAAATTTTTTAGGCGTTTTTAAAGCTTTCTTCAGAGTAGAGCTAATTTTAAAGTAAGCTTCGTTTTGAAGTCCTCATCTGTGTGGAAAGTGCATGGCAAAGTAAATGCGGAGGACTTTAATTTTAATATTACCCGGTAATGATAGAAACGTTGAACTGAGGGAGATTGCGAGTAATTTTTCACCACGGGGTTGTTTAACTGATATGGACTGGGAAGGAAGTAGCGGATGTGGGTTCTGCGAAATGACTACCAACTGTGTTGGTTAAATCGCCAACGTCGTTTACCTGCTATTAGTCGGCGTTAGAGCTGCTTTAATAAACAGGACAAAGGGTGGAAGAACACAGGAAAGGGAAGAACTTTTTGACTTTTAATAACAGTTATTCAGTTGTTTCAGAAGAAGTTAGCTGAAAGAAACTTCACAGGGAGCAACGCTTTCGGATCCTCATTGTAAAAACTGTAAAAGCTTCTTTTTGAGTGAGCTTCATTATTAAATTTATACTGCTATGCATATTTTCGCATTTGTTTTGGCTTTTGATTTCTCTCAAGTCCTTTT